GTGTCCTTCGACTGATGATTGGATCAAGAAGATGTGGTATATATATATATATACAATGGAACACTACTCAGCCATAAAAAAGACAAAATCGTCCCATTTGCAACAACATGGATAGACCTGGAGGGTATTATGTTAAGCGAAACAAGCCGGAAAGACAAACACTGCATGATTTCACTCATATGTGGAAGATAAACTAACACACAGAATAGTTTGGTGGTTACCAGGGGGAAGGAGGTTCGGGGGTGGAACAAGGGGTGAAGGGACGCATTTATATGGTGACTGACAAACAATAATGTACAACTAAAAGTTCACAATGTTATAAACTATTATGACATCAATAAAAAAAGAACAATAAAATTTTAAAGTGAAAAAAAAAGGTGGAGGGACTGTTCTAGATTAAGAGACTAAAGAGACATAACATCCAATGCAACGCATGAAGTTTGTGTCCTACTTAAAGAAAAACTTATATAAGACATTTCGGGGATGTTTGGGGGAAATTTGCATATGAGTGAACTGTGGAATTATTAATTTCCTTAGGTCTGATCATGGCGTGTGTTCAGAGGTGTGTGGGATGTCGTACTGTGTTTACTGATGTGAGTGTGAGACACTGTGTTTTCTGGTACGTGGTGATATGTGTGTGAGACTCTGTTTAGTGCTGTGTGGTAAGAAAATGTCCTTGTTTTTAGGAGCTACACGCTGACATATTTACTAGTGAAGTATCAGGATACTTGAATTTATTTTCAAATGGTAGAGAGGTTATCAAAAGTGCCAAGTTGTTAACAGTTGGTGAATCCAGGGGATAGGCACACGCAAGAGTTCTTTGTACTATTATTTCAGTGCTTCCGGAGATTTGAAAAACTTCAAAATAAACTATTGAAGAAAATGTGCCTAATAAGTGACTCCACTCTATCATATGGGAGAAATAAATGTGGGAGGGCAGTGAGCTGCTTGAGGAGGTACCCAAAGACCCCATTGGAACAGGAGAACCAGAGAACCAGTTCCTCAATTTGTTTCTGGAAGAGAAGTTTCAGGAGAAGGAATGCAAAATATCCTGGTTGTGGTGGGGGTGGCGAGTTCGTGGGGTAGTATCTCAGGAAGTAAGGCAGAAGGACTAACTTATCAAGGACATGGCTTTCTGATGAATGACAGGTCATTCCATCCTCCTCCTGCTCTGAGGAAAGATTTCCTCATCCAGAGATTGGGGTCAGAAGTCTGAAATGGATCTTATGGGCTAAATTCAAGGTGTTGACAGAGCTGCATTCTTTCTGTTGCTCTAGAGGAGAACATATTTCCTTCCTTTTCCAGCTTCTAGAAGCTGCCTGTATCCCTTGGCTCATGGCTCCTTACTCCATCTTCAGAGCACATGGTTCCAAACTTTCCTTGTCTTCACTTCTCCTCTCTGACTCTGACCCTCCTGCCTTCCTCTTATAAGGACCCTTGTGATTACACTGGGCCTACTCAGATAATCCAGGATAATCTTCTCATCTCAAAAGATCTTTAATTTAAGCATATCTGAAAAGTCTCTTTTGCCATGTAAGATAACATAGTCATTCACAGGTTCTGGGGATTAGGACTTGAACATCTTCCGGGGGAAGGGGCATTATTCTGTCTACCACATTATCTTATTGGCATCATTTGATATATGTATTGCTTTTATCTCCTTTAATTTGTTCATGCAATGCATTTTGTCATTGGATTTCTTAATGTTCTTCTAACATTAGGAAATCTTTTGACATAATTCGTTGTTCAAATTTTATACTACATTGTTGAAATCAGCCTTTTATTTGGTATTTTTGCATTTATAATCACAAATGTTAAAGTAATTAAACAAGGACGCCATTTGAACGAGGTGGCTCTAATACCTTGGTAGCCTATGTAAGCAAACCAAAACCCAACCCAGAGTAAATGCACCCAAATATAAGAAAATAAAACTTAAGAACAACCAATCACAAACAGCCAATTTAGCTCTCCCAAGTAAGGCAACTGCTTCAGTGATAGCCAATCAAATCATTTCCTTGCTTTGCTTAGCAGTCTTCTCTATAAAAATCTTTCCAATAGCTCCTGTTGGTGGAGTGCACCTAACCACTTTTGGTTTGACACTGCATGATTCAAATCCACGTATGCTCAAATAAACTCCTGAAAATTTTAACGTGCTTCAGTTTATCTTTTAACACAAATGAAACTGATTAACGCTTTTCTTTTGGCCTGTTTTTATCAGGTTTTATACTAGTTAGACAAAATTAATTAGAGAACATTCCATCTTTTCCTAGGATCTGAGTAAACTGCATAATCATCATTAGATCAAAAATTAGCTAAAACTCAGCTATAACCATCTGGTACCTTTTTAATATGTACCTTTAGTACATATTTTAAGATATATTTAAATTTTATTATGGTTATTGTTCTGTTCAGGTTTTCTAGTTCTTAGTAGAAATTAGTAATTTAAATTTTACTAGAAAAGCTACAATTTCCTCTACTATGGTTATAGAGTTGCACATAGCCTCAAAGTTCTTTTAAATTATGTGTCTATGGTTTAATCTTTCTCATTTCTAATGTTTTCATTTTGATTTAATTTCCTGTTTTGTTATTGTTTATCAATATTGTGTTTCATTTATCCTTTAGAACCAAATTGCAAATTTTAAAAATCTGGCCCACTTTTCTGTTTTCTAGCTCATCAATTTCAGAGTCTATACTTATTCACTTTATATTTAACAAAATTTAATACATAATGTTTCATAAGAAGAACATGACTATGCCCAAAATATAAGGGAATACTCTTAAAGTAAAAAGAAAAAAATTCGTAATTACACGTCCTAGAAATTAACTACTGTTAACAAATGTTAGTGTAACTTTTCAGAGATCTTATTACCCAAGTGGCTTTTTTTTTTGTATTTATGTACTTATACAAAATTTGAAAACAGTATTACGTGGTATATAGAGGTTAGTTTTGGTATTCCATTATTTCCATTCCAGACCCAGGGTTGTCCTCCTTCAATCGGTTAAAAGAAAGAGATAAGAACGAGGCCAGAGTCGTCGTGAAGGTCACCATGACCACATCAAGGCTGAACTATGGGCAGAAATAAAAAATTACCTTTTAACCTTAACTGTCAGCACATGGCTGGAGAGCAATGCAGTAGTCTTTCCCTGCAGTTAGGACGTTTAGAAAGCCCCGGGCACAAGACACACTGTAGCTGGAAAGGGCGACCAATCAGAACTGGACTCAGCCTTAACCTTGCACACTCTGCAATTTTTGCCTTTAAAATCCAGCCACCCCAAGACGGAGGGGCGGGGCCCACCTATCAACTTGCGGGTTGAGGTGTACTTTCCCGGTTTGCAAACCTTTTAGTAAAGTCTCTCTTTTCTTTAAAACTTATCTTTGCCTCGTAAAGCTGCTCATTTTGGTTAACAAACCTCCCCCAGGCCCTTCTCAGGTTCCCCGATCCTGAGCTGCAGACTGCCCCACTTCAGCCTCTCCTCCTCCACATCCCCAGCCCGCTAAGCCAGGACTGCATTTCCCAGACGCCTCCAGGGTGGGCCCAGCCCCTACTGGGCGTCCCTACCACCCCGCCTGAATGGTGCCGAAAAGCCAGGGCACCTGGCTGCGGCGCGGGGGCCTTCCCGACTGAGGACTGCACTTCCCGGCGGCGCCCGCGACTGGAGAGGGGCTTCTCGGGGGAAACCTGAGCTCCCAGCTCCACCAGCATCGTGGGGCGCCAAGGGCTGAACCGCCCAGGTCCGGGAGGACTCCTAGCTCGCGGCATGGGGGGAGCCGTCCTGGGGAGGACCGCCCCCCAGCCCCCTCCCCGCTCTCCCCGGCTGAGCGCCGCCTTTCCCAGAAGCCTCCAGGGCCCACAGCCTTTCCTCGCCCGCCGGCGGCCGCTTGCCGCCCGGAGCCGCGGGTTCGCCCAGGTGCTCGGAGGAAGCGCAGGCGCGGCCGCGCGGCCGGGACCGGGCTTCCCTGAACGCGGCGCGGCTCTGGGCGCACGACTGTGGTGCCGGCCGGCCCTGGCTGGGTTTTTCCTCCTCGGGACTACGTTTTCCTGAGGGCTCCGCGGCACGGGCGCTTCCCGCCGAAGTCGGCTGGCCGCTGGTAGGTTGGCGGGAGTTCGGCCGCAAAGGGTCCGGCGGCCTAGCTCACTGGTTTGCGGCGGACTGGATCAGACGGGAGTGCGAGGACCCCGGGCGGGGCTGGGGTCTTCAGTACGGACGGCCGTCGGGCACGTCCGGGCCGCGTGTCCCCGCTGGGACAGTCGCGGACGGCGGCCGCGCGTCCGCAGGGGGTGGGGGTGGTTTCGGGCCGGCGCGGGAGCGGGCTGGGGGGCTGGCGGCCGAGGGTGCCGCAGCCGTGTGGCCTCCTGCCTGCGAGGATCGCGCCCCGACGTCCGGGGCTCGGCGACCGGTGGCCGCGGCGCCCACTCTGCCTTTGCGGCTGGAACTGGAGGGGGCCCCCTTTGTACGTCCTTGGTGGACGCTGGGGGGGTCCGCCGGAGGATGGGTTCTGGGAGTTCACCCCAGACCCCCACGGCCTCGCGCGCTCCAGACCGGCCGAAGCTGACGCCGCCGCCGCCAGTCGGTCTCCAGCGCAGTGAATGGCTTTCTCCCCGGAGCTATTTCTGGTGTCCAGCGGGTTTCTAGAGATTGGGACCGGGTGCCCCTCCTACTGCCACTTTTTTCTTCTTTCACCCTGTGGCTGTCGGGAGTCCAGGCCCGTAGAGGTGCCCCCAGCCCAGAGCACAGGAGTGTGCGATTCGGACAAGTGGATCCGCTTAGGCTGTGTCTTGCAGCCACAGACCTGGGCTCAGTGTAACATACTGGGCCTGGAAGAATCCAGTCAGGCTGTGATGGGGGAAGGAGGCCCGAGTCTGGGATGCTCTCCCAGGACTCCTGTGTGGGCCCCTAGCGTCGCCTGCTCGTCTTTGTGGTGATGGGAGAGGGTGGTGGAGTTGCAGGCTTCTGTGGCTTTGGCTCCCTCCCAGTGCCTGGGGTGGGGCAGGGATTGATTCGGACTTCGCCTCCTCTGGGCTCCAGGAAGGGACTGTTGTCTCATAGTTTCTGAACCCTTTTCCACCTTTTTCCTTCTCTAAGAATCCGGAAGAGGAGAAGAGAAGAGCCGCTGTGCATCAGAAGTCATGGGAGAGGTAAGGTGTATTTGGCACTTTCTTTTTTTTTTTTTTAAAGATTTTATTTATTTATTTTTCCCCCCAAAGCCCCAGCAGATAGTTGTATGTCATAGCTGCACAACCTTCTAGTTGCTGTATGTGGGACGCGGCCTCAACATGGCCGGAGAGGCAGTGCGTCGGTGCGCGCCCGGGACCCGAACCCGGGTCGCCAGCAGCAGAGTGCGCGCACTTAACCGCTAAGCCACGGGGCCGGCCCCATGGCACTTTCTTCTTGGAAAGGGCTTCTTGGTTTTCAGGACACTATCCTCTTTGAGGATTCTATCCAAAAGATTTACAACAGTGATTTGGAGAAAGCGGAAGAGAGGAGGAAACGACATATATGGAGCAGTTTTCCTAAACCTGCCAGGAGCCTAGACCGGAGCTGTCTGCTTTGCACACATTGTCTCATCTGATCGAGAATTTCCATTTTCCTGGATTTTGTTCATTCCCAGAGTACTCTTGACAGATTGTGCCTCAGTGATTTGGCAGGGAAGTTGAAGAACAGAATAAGTTTACTCAGTTCAGTCTCACTAATTTCGTTGTTGTCCCCTCCAGGGTCACATGCAATAGCCTGTTTGCTTCCAAATTTCTAACAGCCTGGAACGCCTGCCAGACCCCTTCAGCTCTAGATATTTCTTTTCCAAGATAGAAATAAGATAATCGCTCTGTTTCTTTTTTTTTTTTTTTTTGGTGAGAAAGATCAGCCCTGAGCTAACATCCATGCCAGTCATTCTCTCTTTTTTTTTTTTTCTGAGACGGACCGGCCCTGAGCTAACATCTATTGCTAATCCGCCTCCTTTTTTTCCCTTTTTCTCCCCAAAGCCCCAGTATATAGTTGTATGTGGTAGTTGCATATCCTTCTAGTTGCTGTATGTGGGACGCCGCCTCAGCATGGTGGGACAAGCGGTGAGTTGGTGCGCGCCTGGGATCCGAACCCGGGCTGCCAGTAGCAGAGCACGCGCACTTAACCGCTAAGCCACAGGGCTGGCCCTAATTGCTCTCTTTCTAATGATTAACGTAATATAGGATTCTTGCAAAAAATTTCTTAACTGGAGAAAATTATTAAGAAAGTTTGTCACCCATGGTCCCACCATCTAGAGGTAGTCACTATTAATATTTTCAAATTATTTTGTCTACACATATATGTGGGTATGTAATTTTATTTTATTTTTTTTGGTTTATTGTGGTAACATTGGTTTATAACATTATATAAATTTCAGCTGTACATCATTATACTTCCATTTCTGCATGGATTACATCATGTTCTCATGTTCACCACCCAAATACTAATTATAATCCGTCACCGCACACATGTGCCTAATTATCCCTTTCACCCTCCTTCCTCCCTCCTTCCCCTCTGGTAACCACCAATCCAATCTCTGTCTCTATGTGTTTGTTTGTTGTTATTATCTACTACTTAATGAGTGAGATGTACAGTATTTGACCTTTTCCCTCTGACTTATTTCACTTTGCATAATACCCTCAGTGTCCATCCATGTTGTCACAAATGGCTGGATTTCATCGTTTTTTATGGCTGAGTAGTATTCCATTGTGTATATATACCACATCTTCTTTATCCATTCGTCCCTTGATGGGCACTTAGATTGCTTCCACGTCTTGCCTATTGTGAATAACGCTGCAATGAACACAAGAGTGCATGTATTTTTATGCATTGGTGTTTTCACATTCTTTGGAAAGCTACCCAGCAGTGGAATAGCTGATCGTATGGTAGTTCTATCCTTAATTTTTTGAGGAATCTCCATACAGTTTTCCATAGTGGCTGCGCCAGTTTGCACTCCCACCAGCAGTGGATGAGAGTTCCCTTCTCTCCACATCCTCTCCAACATTTGTTTTTTTCCTGTCTTGTTGATTATAGCCATTCTGACGGGTGTGAGGTGATACCTCATTGTAGTTTTGATTTGCATTTCCCTGATAGTTAATGATGCTGAACAACTTTTCATGTGTCTGTTGGCCATCTGTATGTCTTCTTTGGAGAAATGTCTGTTCAGGACTTTTGCCCACTTTTTAATTGCATTGTTAGTTTTTTTCTTGTTGAGATACATGAGTTCTTTATATATTTTGGAGATTAAC